CTAAAGTGCTTGAACAGAAGTTCTGTTACAATGCAAATAAAAATTGTAGTTAATATTATCAGTGTTTTCAGGACGGAATGCTTCCAATGCACAGCTTGCTCCCCAGTGTGACACTATAGGAAAACAGTGCTTAAATTATAAGAATGCGATGCCACACCTTGCTAGGAGCCTTCCTAAAAAAACTCACACACAAAAAGCCTTGAAACAAAGCTAAGTTGCCAGAGCAGGGTTAGAGGATAAACCACAACTCAGTGAGTAATCCTGTAAACCAGGAGCAAAGATGAGGATATTCTCAGGTTGGTCACAGCACAAATGGTAAATCTCACAGTTTAGCACTAGCTAATGGGAAAGAAAATATTAAAAGACAAATATGTAATATTAATAGAAGATAATTTTACATGCTTAACATTCATTATAATGAATAATAATGAAATTATTTTTAAAAGTGATGTTAGTCTATCAGCTTTTTTTTTTTAATAAACTGAAAATCACAGCAGTTCAGGCTTCACACACTTTCTCTCGATTCATTATTTGCTATAGTTGTACAGGAAAATTTTAGTGATTGCTGATGACTAAATTAGATGTAGAAGGTATAGGGCATTAGCCTATCTTCAGCCTGGGCTAACATTTCTCTTATAGGATTCAGGATCAGACCAATTAGATCTCACCCATCTAGTTCTTCCATCTCTTTTTGGCAGTAGAGCATACAGGTAGAGATTTATCTCCCTAGAAACTTCAGGAATGTTGTATTCATTGATATCAGAACACATTATACACAAATAACATGGCTACATTCAGTAGAGTAAAGGAAGCACAATACTACCTTCTCCACATGCATGCTTGGGCAGGAATCATCAGCCCTGTGGTGTTCGGAGGGAATTAGGTTGTCTCACCATGTCACAGGTGCCTCTTACTACCTCCCATTCCACCAAGTCTCTTCCCATTTTCCATCCTCTTCCCTTACCCTGTAATACCAATATGCTTGAAGAGCATGAGCATAGGCTGCCTTATGCTCTGGCCTTATGAAGGGGATCTTCCTTTCCTCTAACATTGTTGCACTGGATCATGACACTTTTTTTTTTGTTGTTGTTGTTATATAATGCACCAATAAACCTTTGCAAAGTCTCAACCAAAACATCAGTAAGAATGCCTTACCAGTGTCTTCAGAGTAAGCAGAATCAAGGTGTGAAAACAGTCTATCCCTTTACACTACATGTAGTGATAACTGAGTTCTTTTAATGACAGATGCTTACCAGATTATTTGCTTGGATATGGCTTACAGGGTCAGGAATATAGAAATAGCTTCCATCTTTATGCCACACCATTTCAGTTCACTAACTGATAACATACCAGATACCACCACCAAGTTTTTCTGAAGTCTGACTGATCCAGCAATCAATGTTAACATCTTCATGTGACCACCTCCTTGCATCGCCATCTTGCAGCAGAATCACTTCCAGAAAAACATCTCACTACTGCTTTCACTCATGCCCATGCTGTTGTCTCTACAATTTTTACCTACAGGCAACGAGCTGCTAGTTTGTGTTTCATGAAGGGATACAAGCTCCCCATATTCTGTGAGACAGACAGATATCAGCCTGTGGAATTGTAAAATCTGGGACGTTTTGCTTAGGGCTTTCCAGATTAAGATCATCTTGCCCATTATAACTACATTTTCTGTGACTAACTCCAAGTGCAAGCTTCAGCCCCACTGAACAGCATTATGAATTAACTTCCTTGCCCCAATCTGTCCCCAGAAATCCTGCACTAGTAACAACTAGATTTTCTCTAAGAAACCTTTGCAGCTTCTTCTCAGTGTTGCTTTTCTTTGCAATTCAGGACCATAAGAAAGTTTTCTGTGCTGCACTTCAGTTGCTATTATTTGTTCTGTGGTTTTGGATTTGACTGGATAGAGCCTTACTAAAGTATCTATAGGCATAACTAGGCTAATGCCTCACAAAAAGCATGACAAAAACTGAAAGGAAGTAGAATAGTAAGTATAACTAGTAGAAAATAGGGGAGAAACTTTCAGGAAGCAGAATGCAAGTAAGGTACTGGAATCATCACTTCCAGAGACTGAAAGAGCAGAAGAGGAAAGGTGACCAATAATGAAAAGCAAGAGCAAAATACACAGATTCTGGAAGGCTGAAACTCCAGGTGATTCCAAAAACTATAGAAGACCACTCTAGCAAGTTTAGTTCTTGAGAAAAAACAGCTGCTGAACGAACAAATCACAGACATCATAAAGGAAGCAGCTACTCATGACCATATGGTCTTCTACCATTTTTCTTTTCAACTCAAGCAAAACTAATACATGGGTTTTGGTAGCTGGGTAATCTTCTGAATCTCATTCTGCTGCTTAGAAAGTAAACTGAAGGGGCAAACAGTCTAATTTCAAAAGAATTTATTGGTATGAGGAATTATTTTCATCATTTTCTCTTGTCCTGCTGATAAACACAGACCATTACCCTTGCTAGGATGGTGAATATATAATGGTTAACAGATTTGCTGTACTACTAAGGCTATCATAATAACGCAACTCGCCCCAGGATCAAAGACTTAATTCAGGCCACAAGCATTAGCACAACCTGCTTCCTTTGCACATTTGACAGAATCAGTGAAGAATAGGTTTTAAGCTGCTTTTAAATTTCTACAGCTTACAAAATGTGCTTGAAACTGTGCTGGTTCATGGAATTAAAACCAATTGTCACCACTGCCAATGAAGTCAGAACATAACATGAGACATCTCTAACCAGCTTCATAAGTCATCAGACGCTAAATGCCAGGCACAAAATATCCATTTGGAAATCTATCAGGAAGCAAAGTGACAGCATGCAAATTTACCTTAGCAAGATTTGCAGAGATGAATTAAAGAAAACTTTAAAGTTAAAAAGTACCATCAATAGGAAAGACTTGGAAAGGACCACAAAGTCCTACTGGAGAATTTGGTATCAAAATTTCTTACACGCCTTTTAAAATCTTCAGCCAAACTATATTTATACAAATCTAATATAGATGTTGGGGGCCAGCATGACACCATATTTCAAAGTGAAACATCCATTCTATAGACAACCTCAAAGTATCACTATTGGCTCTGTAGCTTACTCTACCAACTGTCTCTGTGGGTATTTTGAGCTTTAACTCATTCAGATATTCTGGCTTCATTTTATTAATTTGATAGGGTGATGAATTAAAAGTCAGCGTGGCAATAAAATGATAATGAACTGAACTATCTCCTAGTATGATTTTTTTTATGAAAAAAAAAGAAAGTCTCGTTGTCCAGCGTTTCTCTTGTCCCTAAGTACTTTCATTACAGCATTCTGAAAACCCGTGGCATCCGTTCATAGTTATGTTGTCAAATATCCCTAAAATTGTGGCTTTAATTGAGTTAGACAAAAAATAGAACATGTTTACATGTACCTAGAATTCTGACCCAACTTGAAAACTACTAAGCAGCTCACTGCTTTCAATTAACAGTGACTGTAGAGTCATTCAGACAATAAAATAGTGTCTTTGCAGTCTAAAAGTAGGATTTTTACTTTTGAAGTATTTCACTATCTTTTGGAGGGAGGAAAGGGGAACTGAATTGCTTCGCCATCCTGTATAATGCTGGACCACCTAGCTATGTGTCAGAACAACTACAGTTTTGGAGTATCTAGTCTGGTTAAGGTCAATTTTAAATGCTAACTAAACTAAAGATGCCAGATGAATTGAGAACATAGAAATAGAGAGGGCCTCACTGGCCTCTGAATTGTTAATAGAATAAAACATTCAGAAAAAGCCAGCATGGCCTTGAGCTTAGTCCCTCAAGCTACCACTTAAAAGTGTGTACACCCACAAAGACACAGAACTTAAATAAGTTAGGAAGGAAGAAAGGAAGGCTTCAGTTCAGTGAATATTTTATATCATCTCCCTGGTTGATTTTTTCAGCACACTTAATTCCTTTCTCAGATATTTTGCTTACACTTGGCATGCAAAAGTGACACAGGGTTACTGCTAACAAAGCAGGAAGAGCTTCTCTGAAGATTTGAGTAAATGCTCTGACACAGAACTGTGCTGATTGCCAGGCGATGGCTTGACATCTGCTCCACCATGTAAAAATGAGACTTTACAAAGCCCAACTTGAATTCATTTTAAAGCCTTGTTTGAAGATCCTATTTTAAACCCTCTTGCTGCAGATTTCACTTTCCAACTGCTTAACATGCACATTGGAGTCTCCAACACTGAGCCATATAGATTTGTCTTTGTCTTTTGTGTTAATTATTAGCTGCTGCAGAGCTGTCTCTGTGGGTGAACGCACACAGAAACAAAGGCGGCAAGGTTGTAAAACCTTTTATCTCTATCAGGCCACATTATTTGATAAGGTGCTAAGCTAATAGCAACGCATGTCAAATTGTGTTTAGACAGATCAGTGTGCTGGGAATTGGAGGTTATATTTGCCTCTGGAAACCAGCACCTGGAGAAGCAAAGAGAAATTCATACCAATATTCACAACACTGTGTAAACTGTAAGCCACCTCAAAGCAGTAACTTTACAAATGGCTCTAAAGATAACGAACCTTTCATTTCATTTGCCTTATGAATATCCTTTTGAATTTTAAATCATTGATATTCTCATAAAAACAGTAAAAACTAGAAACAAAATTTAGGACAGGGAGCAATGAAATATTGTGTCAACTTTACATAGCCTACACTTTTAAAAGCATCTCTGATCACCCAGTGGAAAACACTAACTTTGCAGTAAGATCTAAACATCTGTCCCTGAGAAACAGGCAAAGGCATGCATCAAGGCACCTGAAGCTGATAAAATAAAATACTTTTTTTTGGGGGGGGGGGGGAGGGGACGGACACAAGAAAGACACATACAATCAACACCACATTCTACATAATAAAACAAGATGTATGGTGTGAAATTAAAAAGCCATGCCATCAAAAAAAAAAACACCACACACACACCCCCAAAAAAAAAAAAAAAAAAAAAACAAAAAAAAACCCACCCACTAACTTAATTTATAACTTCCAAAGTTTGGCTTTTGTGTTTTGAGGATTTCTCCCCATCTTGAAGGTATTTCTCTTCTGGTTCACAGCTGTCTAACTACACTAAATGCAAGGCAGCGCCTGGATAGGACTACTTAATGGGAAGACAACAACAACTTCCCCATGAATGTGAGCAACTGATAACAGTACTTAGTCATCCTGGAAAACACACCACAGTCCATCTTTCCAGAGACACTAACCTTTTCAGCTTGCAAGCTTGAAACCAGTCCTGCTAATCAGTGCTATGTGTGCTCATTGCCATAGTTTTTTCAGCACCTTAAATACTTTTTCTACGATGATTGAGATATCACAAGGAATTCTCTCAAATGCTAAGCGTCCAATTCGCATGAAGCTTACAACCTTTTTTATCTCAGTCACTGGGACCAATGAACTTATTTAGATAATCAGGATTTTGGGTACTCAAGTATAGTTTCAGCACAGTTAATAGATGGATGTTTTGTAAAGAGTTTGAAATAATTACAGTTCAATTAATCAGTTATTTTGTACTCAAGAAACATAGTTCAGATTATTTTTACTTCCTTTTTAAGGACAAGAACTATTTATGAAACATCCTCATTGTAAGTAGCAGTTTCTGACAGTCCCAAAAAACAATTAGACTTCTTTCTTGGTCTTAGTTCCAAAGATGATGTTTTCAGAACAAAAGCAATGGAACCACCCTGCTTAGCTTGTGGTGCAGCTGATGAACAACCTAACATGCACAAAACGGAGAATGTTTTTATCTTAGCTGCGGAATCTGGTGCCTAGATGATATTAGATATGAACCAACGGATTACAGATATGTGGCATACCTTACATTTTCTACGTGTCTTCTAATTCCAGTTTGAGCTCCATCACAGGTAAAAACCAAAATAACAACAGGCTTGCTTGGTGGATTGTGGTGTGAGTTTTGGTGCTTCTTTTAATTGTTAAATAAATCTTTGAACACCTACACTCACCATTCAGGACAAAAAGACAGCCTGAGCAAACACTTTGAGCAGGTAAGCTTTTTTTGCGTATATGCATGTATGTGTATGAGTGTGTGTGGTTTAGGTTTTTTTAAACAACATTACGGTAAACCATCTATATTCCTGAACAAGAAATCAAAGCTCAGCATCACCTTCCTATTTGTGAACTCTCAAGGGGAAAAACAAAAATTGGCTTTTGATAAAGTTCATAAAAATCCCTTCACCTTGATAGTTAGCTGATATTAAGAGGACACCATATTTTGTCTTTAAGATACTCTAAGTATTATACATTGATTCTCTTTGCAGTAAACAGATTGCCACTTTTCTCCTCTTCCCCCTAGAAAAATTGAAAAAGGACTCTTGCAGCATTATGTTCTCTGCAATGATTGCATACAAGATATCTAACAGTGATGTGACAGGACTGAAACACTTAATAGCTTACTACTGTGGTCAATTATACTAAGTTTACTGAGCTCAAGCATCTTTTGTTTTACAACCCTTTGAGGGGGGGAAAAAAAAAACAAACAAAACAAATAGAACTGAAGTAATCATAGTGACTGTAAACTCGGATAAAGAAAGATAAGATTGACACTGTCTCACCTGAGCAAGGAATCAATTTTTTACCCATCAAGCTGGCAGTCAGGCAAGCTGACTCGGGTGTAGATCACTAACTTGGAGAGGGGCGAGGGGCTGCATTTGTCAGGAAGAAACAAGTTCTCCCTTTTTAACTAAAAGGTCATAGGAGCTGTATATTCCCATATAGATAAAAATTTTGCTCTCAACTTCCTGCTCTATGTGACTGGGGAGTTCTCCATACTCTCCAGTCTTCTGAACACCAGTAAAAATGTCGTCCTCAGAGAAACGACTTTCTTCTGCATTAAGTTATCCAATCACCAATTAATCAGCATCATCCAAGCTCTCAATTTTTAACACATTATAAATTAAACACAAAAAAAAAAAAACAAAAACAACCCAGGGTGTAGCATCCTTCAATTTGAATAAGCAGACCAGCAGACAGGCAGATGGCAGAAGCAAAACATGGGAGAATTAATAAGCCATTACACAATGCTTTTCGTCCAAAGTGGTTAAACAAAGTGTTCATAATCACTATTCTCATTTTAAAGGTTAAGGCAAGCAACAAATGCCGAAATTAAAACACACATCCCAAGAGGCCAATGGCAGAACTGAGAATAGAGACAGCAAGAAAATTCAAATCTCAAGTCCTCCCTTCCCTGTTCTGTTCAGAAATATGCTGTTCATCCTTAGAAATAAACATGAAGTCCTTGATTCTTTCCTGCTCCCGCAAAATATGAAGTTATTTTAAGACAATGTTAAAAGCATCCTTCTCACTCTAACTCTGCTATTAGTCTAAGGCTGATAAACAGAAACTACAAACATTGAGTCAAAACATCAGGAATTATTTCTTCCCAGAATTGATTATAACAACATCACTAGTTTGTATGTTGTAGTGTTTAAATATATTTTTCAGTCATGGAGAGATATGCTTGGATAGGGTTTCTAAGCCACAAAACACATCTGTAATCCACAGTAGCATAGCACTCAGCAAGAGGATGCAAATGAGACCAGAGCAACCTTGATAGAGAAACTTCATCCACCCACAAAGATAGGTTATGCATGTCACATTTTCCAGCCTATTTCTCTTAAACATGTTTTGCACTTTCTACTGCTAAAAATAACTGTTACATTAGGAAAAGAGCAGAGGGAGAAACCAGTGCTCACTGGCTAAATGCTTTCTTTATCACCACCACTATTTTTTGTCTTTCATCCTTTTAGAGAGAAAATTTATCTCTAACATTTCAGAGATGTTTAGGTTAACTACAGCTGTTAAACTGCCATGCTAATTATGAAGTAACCCAAGAACAGTATTTATATTTTTCTTTTCTATGTCTAATCAGCTCAATTCTCGTTTTACTGACACCCATGTTAGTTAAGTAGCTTAAAGAAATCTTCCCACTATAAAACTAGTGTGAGAGTAGACTGTGACTTAAGAAATGAATACATATGTGTGTGCATCTGGGCACATTTATTCATCAGTGTGTTTAATGGAACATACAGTTATTGTGTAAGTTACTATGCAGGAAAAGCAATGCAACAACAAATCTCCTTTCCATCATAAACAGAGGTATCATCTAAGCAAAACCAGCTTTTGCTTTGCCTCTCATCACATGACGACAAAAGTAAAGAGGACATTAAAATAAAGGTGCATGTTACACAAGAAACACTTGTAGAGACAAATATTTTTCAAGGATTTAGATAACTTAAACACTTTCTCCTCCTGAATGTTTCACAGTAAACTATTACACTTAGTCCAAGCATCTTTAAAAAAATTATTAAGATAGGTTTCGTTCATATTAACGCCACAACACAGAACAGCCTTTGGCACATTTGATCTGCTTCAAAAAAGTACACTAGGGCTGTTACTATTCATCATGAGAAAGGACATATGTATGTACCTCTTCAGACTATGTACCTTATTTTGTGTTTCCATAAAAAGCCAATAAAAAAAAAAAAAGATCACATAAACATATTCATGTGTACTGAAATAATAAACACTGTTTTAAGCAAAAGTCACCAAATAGTGCCACCTGCTGTAAACTGTCCGACATTGTCAGGCAGCCACCAGTCCCTGTTCTCCAGTACCTGAAATTCACAGAATAAAATATTAGAAAGCCAAACCCTCCATTCAAATGAAAGACTAAAGAGCTATAAAGAGAAGAAAGGAACAAAGAAACAAACAAACATCATTTAACAGAGCTCTGCTGGAATCAGAGGGATATAAATAGTCTATTGTTACAGTGTCTATCTGCTTTTGTAGTGTCGCCTGGATCACTGAATAGGCAGCAATCTGCATAAGAAAATCCTCATGCAAACACTGATACATCCGCTTACATGTAAATGCCGTTAGGAGTGTAATTTATGAACAGCTCATTAATAAAAGTGATATGTTATCACTGAGATTCTAACAAGAACCTCCTAGAGGTTCCAGATTAAAGGTTTTGCAGTTGAAGAAAGAACAAATTGCACAGCCACAATCCATGTTGTCACAGAAATCAACAGCAAAACTCCCAAGAAGCTTCTACAGGACTTAAAAACTATTAAGGTAAACCCCCACCATAAATCCTAAAATGTTGAGGGTGGTAGGGAGCCTTAATTTAAGTGTTCGCATTTTGTGGTGGTGAGAATAAGCCAAGTAATTAGCTTAATCATTTCAAAATATCTGCAGAACATACCTATTGCCCCAAAGATAATACAATCCATTTTTTAAATAGCCATGGCTGAGATGAGACACAGCAGGATATTTTCAAAGCAATTGCTTTGCAAGAGTCCTCCTCATTTTTTCACAGGAACCTGAGCAACAGGCATAACAGTCTGTTCACCTAAACATGAACCAGTGTAGTTTGAGTCACACACTGAGTCAAAGACAAGGTAGGCTTCTCCGTGCTGATACAATCCATTTCATTCACCATGATACAACCGAAATGAGAGAATACATTAAAACTACATTTTCATTCTGCGTCTGGATAGAAGTAGCTTTCTACACTTTCATAAATTACAAACTCTGTGAGTTGACCAAATAGATCAGACTGAGATCCCATCTAATCACAACAGAGGCTTCCTCTGTTGTGATTAGAGCACTTTCTTTCACCATCTGAATCCTTCACCTGGGGCTAAATGTTTCATCTCCATGAAGCTTTGCAATGTGCTGCATACCATTTGATCACCCCCTGTATCTCAGAGATGACTGAAGTTCTTCAATACAAGCATGTCAGCCTGGTAGCTGACAAAACGTCTTGAGAATGAAATGAGTGAAAATGAATTAAAAAATGCTATATAAATGTAAATTATTGTTTTAACAGAACTGTGGATATTTCTGTGCTACTTCCATTGCTAGTTTTTCCCTCACATTTCTACATAACTTTTAATTTTGCAAAAATAGATTAAGTGCAGATTGATTTTTATTTTCTAAACCATGATGAAATTATAAAGTGCCATGTCACAGGTAAAACTGTTAAAAACTGCAGCAGCAATGATAGTAATGACAAAATATCCATATTAATTACTCAAACA